CATGCGTTTTCGCACTATTATTCGATTTTTAAAGGTACTTGGTGTGCAACACAACAGCGACAAACAATTAAGCAAAGTAAATTCATGTGTTTTTTATTGATTAATTGCTATTTTTATACAGCGAAAAAGAAAAAGACAAAAAAAAAAGAAAGAAATCATTCAGTGTCTGAATTTTCACCACAAGAATTCATGGATCTCTCGATGTCCAAACTTTCGTCTCCCCCCTCATGACCTTTTCCTTTGTTGTTGGTGACTACGCTCACTGCATCCACCAACTTGGTTGATATTGGTTCGTTACAATTCATGGGTGCGCCTCTGCTGGTGCTGGACTCTCCGTTATTATTATAACCATCGTAATGATAATTTGCGGGTCTTTTTTTCTGGTTACCAGAACCTTTCACATATTTTTCTTCAAAGTCCATGCGCTTTGATTTTACTTTTTTACGCCAGGATCCTTTATCTTCACCGGTGGCAGTGGTGGCCCTTTCGACGGCCGGGTACGTCCATTCAATTTCGGTCGCAATAATCTGCACGAGCTTCTTCCCAACAAAGAGCTCTCCCGCAGTGGAAAAAATGGCTTTGCCGTTCGTGGCATTTGCAACATTAATATGACGGCCATTCTCAGGTTCATAAAAGCACGGAACATCCATCACGACATGCGCACCGGTAAATGGATTATAAGTTTTACGGGACAACGTGAAGTAATGCCCATCGTCTTGGCTTCTTGAAGGAACGGAACATGGACCAGTTACTGCACCGAACAAAGGGCTAATTGGTAAATCGTGTATATTCGGTCTCTCTCCCAGTGTCTTTAGGTCAAGAAGTGTTGACTTAATCAACGTGACCTGAACGAAGAAGCACAAAAGACAAAGGTGACGTTATTTTCCTAATAAGCAAAGAAACAAAAGGCGGGAAATAATAAACCAACGACGCTACACTCACATATAGCTGGGATTCAAAAACGTATCTCCCGACAAACAGCATGATTGTGTTCTCTTGGATGGGTTCGAGGAGACTTCCTTCGCTCACGTTAAATGCTTTGTATTGGAAATCTATGTATTCCTCATCGTCCAATCTTGCCGTTGCTATCCCACTGAAGGCTCTGGTTCCACTAACGGATTTGACGAACACAACGGCAGTCAATATTGCAGACATATTGTATTTAAGTAAAAAATTAGTTTATTTTTAAAAAATGTAATGGCAAGCAAAAGATTATTTTACTTTAAAAAATGTAACGGTAAGGTAAGTAAAAGATTATTATTTTTTTTTGGTCACGTAGACAAGCAAAGAGAGGTCACGAATCAACAAAAACAGGTCATTTATATAGCAAACATTCATTATTTTTTATTGATATCGCATAGTAATAGTTTTTTACATATACTGCCAAGTCCTTTTGAAAAAATGCATGTAAAAACAGGAACTGGTTGTTCGTTGTTATTAAAAAAACCCAACCAAGGCTTTTTTGAAAGCGTGGATAATTCGTGATTAATTCCCTTATTGTTGTTGACAAACCGACCAAGACTTTTTTGAAAATGTAGAGATTTTGGGTCTTAAAGGAAACAGGATGATTCACGATTAATTTTTTCCTTGTTGATTAAAAATGTAAGATGCTTCGTTCACAATTATTTCCTTATTGTTGTTGACGAACCGACCAAGACTTTTTTGAAAGTGTAGAGATTTTGGGTCTTAAAGGAAACAGGATGAT